GGGAAGTCCAGCATTATGGACATGACATTTGCAGTCAAAACTTGAAGTAAAAATTCTCAGAAAATACATGTATTGAAACGTATATAGGCTACTTCCTTAAAGGACTCCAGACATTAGACAAATATCAGTCTGTTTTATTTTTAATATTAGGGAAAAGACACACATTCATGCGTGACAAAAAAATAGGAGTTTTTTACTCTACTCTACAAGAAGTTCCCAGTCTTACTGAGCGCTGCTTTAAGTCCTCTTCTTTCAGGGCAAGGATTAGCTAGAGAGCATCTAAAACATTGGGCCATGGGATGACACCAAACTGTTTTGCACTTCCTCTTCTCAGTCTCTCGTGTTACATGAACCACATTAAGGGGCTTATCGACTGGCTTCCCTGGCTCATCATACGTAAAGCGTGTCACAGGTTTTATCTGTCTTTTAGGACGTCTTTCACAGGTAAGCTCTTCCACAGGCACTTCATCTTCACCCACTTCACACTCAGCAGGAGGTTCTCCCCCTTCAGACTCTGAGGCGTCCACAGGGTCTGGTTGTGGACTAGTTCCGGTGTCATCCTCCACAGGTGTTTCTCCCACTTCTCCAACTTCCTGAGGAAGGCTTTGCTTCACGTCATCAGACACTGGGGTACTTTCAGGTAGGATTTCTCTCTCAGGAACAGCAGAAGGTATCGATCTGAACAGTTCACTCACATCATCTCTCAGAGGGAAATATGACCCATTATGTTCCTCATCAGATGAGGACCCTTCGAATCCATCTTCAGCATTCATTTCTTGGACTTCCTCCTTCCTTGTTTCCTTTCTTACCCGTTTCTGATTTGTTTGGGTACTGGTCACAGGACGATGAGGGGTCTGTTTGCTCTCTTCAGGGATTGGCAACCTCACAGACTCTCCTATGGTTAACAGGTGGTCTCTATGAAGTGTCCGTATGCCTCCCATTCCTCTTTCAGGTTTCAATCTATAAACAGGTAAGTCTGGCAATTTCTTCACAACAATGTATGGCAATGGATTCCACCTATCCTGTAACTTGTGTTTGCCTGTCAATCCCAAATTCTTTATCAACACTGTCTCCTTGTTCCAGACTATAATGTCTCACTCTTCTGTCAAAGATTTTCTTGTTTCAATCATGGTTCTTTTGCGAAGCTTCGGATGCAAGTTTGTAAGCATTCTGCAGCTCTTTTTTCATACATCAATGGGCAAGCGGGCTTCTAGCCAGTAGCCTCATTCTTTGTACAGTTGTACGCGTGGACTAATTGACTGATGCTCTGACTCCATTGTGACCTTTTTGCAGGATCCAAAGTTGCTAGCATTGACAGTAGCGTCCTGTTGAATCTTTCTGGTTGTGCATCACCTTGAGGGTGGTAAGGTGAGGTTCGAGACTTACGGATGCCTAACATCTCCAAAAGGTCTTTGATAAGGCGACTTTCAAAGTCTCGCCCCTCATCGGAATGGATTCGCGAAGGTAATCCATAATGCACAAAGAATTTCTCAAACAGGGTCTTGGCTTCAGTCATTGCTTTTTGATCTTTGCACAGGAAAGATTGGGCGTAGTGTGTGAAATGATCTGTTATGACCAACACATTTGCGATCCCTCGCGAGTCCGGCTCAATAGACAAGAAGTCTATGCAAACTAGGTGACGTAACTCTCAATTTCAGTATTCATTCTCGGCCAGTAGAATCGTTCCTTAAGGAGTTCAGTCGTCCGTTCAACTCCAAGGTGTCCAGTATCGTGTAGAGATCGCAGGACCATCCTACGGTATTTCTCCGGTAAGACTACCTGTTGTCTTTTGTCTCCAGACTGTTGGTTCACAACTCTGAAAAGAAGATGATTCTTCACAGCCAGCTCGGGACTTTGTCTTTGCAGGAGCACTATGCTTGGATATTGATTCTTGGCCATAGACTAAAACCGGCCAGTCTCGACTGCTTGCACCGACACGGTGCGATCGCTGTTGTCTGTCCATTGAAGAACATGACAGCCCGCGTCTGTTTTGGAACTATTGGGGCCTCCATGAACCACGTGACAGCCTTGCGGCGACATCAAAGCGCGTCGTAACTCTCTCAATACATGGCTCTGAGCGCAACCAAGAGAAAAGCTATGAAATTAAGAGAACGAACTATTTGGATAATTTAATGCTCATTCATGCAGTAGCGGTTCTAGGCACGGGCGAACCGGGCAGTTGCCCAGGGCGGAATTTCTTCATGTCACATGGGGGAAGGCACGAGCAGTTAAAAAAATCCTCTGTGCCGCGAAGTTTTTCTATTTTTTATCATTTCGATTCAATTATTGGCAATGGCGCCCTGCTTGCTGAGAAGGTGCCGTGCGCAGAAGCGATGTCAAGGGGATCTCCTGATTAGTTCACGTATCGCGTCTTTTGCGCGCTCGAGGTCGTTATTTGAAATCCTCTATGTTTCAAATAGGCGCACGCTTATTATGCGCTCAATGGAAGCGCGCTCATAAACTTTTCAGTATGGGAGTGCACGTGCACCAAACACTTGGGTGTTTTTTCTTTTCTCCGTAAATAGCCTACAGGGGTTGGACAATGAAACTGAAACGCTGGCCAATGTTGGAGGTTTCACATCTATATGCTTGGCGGCCAATCTTCAGAGTGAAGCACGGGTGGATCAGTGATGGTTTGAGCTCCAATATCATGACAATCTTGATTGTATTTGATGGACACGACACTGCCGAGGACTACCAAACCCTTCTGGAGGATCATGAGCACCTGATGCTCAAACCGTGTATCAGCATGATCATGCACCAACACACACAGGAAGACTTGTGACAGAAGGGTTTGATGAAGATGAAAGTGATGTTGAACATCTCCCATGGTCTGCACAGTCACCAGATCTGAATATTATTGAGGTGTTTTGGAGGAGCGAGTACACCAGCATCATATAGTGACCTGGACACTGTTCTGGAAGAGGAACGGCTCATAATCCCTCTGGTCACTGTGAAGGACTTCTATCTGTCAATTGGTGCTTTATTTGGATGCAAAATGAGGCCCTCATTTTGCAATAACAAATTATTACACAATATTATTATACAATAACAAATTATTGTGTTGTAAAACCAGGTGTTTCAGTTTCATTGTCCAACCCCTGTAAATCTTTTAGCAGAGCTACAGCAAGCGTTTTTCTGTGGTGGAAATACATTAGCTACTAAAACTTTGTTGTTGTTGTGGAGAGCGCAGTGTAATGAGGGGGGCGCTCGAAGGGGGTCTCGCCCTGGGTGTAATTCAAAGTAGAACTGCCACTGCATTCATGGAAAAAATATATTAAAGTGTAAGTCAGTGATTCTGATAGTGTTTTGGCCAGCAGAGAAGGCCTTGCTGGCCCTGACGGCTCACCACTGTGAGATACAAACAGGTCTGATTTTAAGACAGTTTAATCTGAAATCAATATATCTTGTACCCATAATTATTTATGTGTCGAAATGTTGTGCAAGAAGTGGTATGACTGTATACCGTATTTTTTAAATGTATGTCTAGTTTGAACTTGACACGCTAGCAACTGGTCTCTGCGGAAGCTTTAATAAAAATACATAATAAAATATTTCAACTCAGATTAATATTTTCTGTCTAATTATTTACTTATATGGAAAGTAGCCGTGTAATAATAAATATTATCTCAGCTTTGCGTTGGGGTCCTGATCACCCTTGTTGGGGGTTATTTTGAGAGAACCACCGGCTGGATGTACATTATCCCTTACTTAACTAATGCATAATTCAGGACTCTTAAAATGTAAAGTTAATCATGGATTAGTGTGTTCGTGCTTAACTAATGCTTAATTGTGAACAAGTTAATCATTCATCAATCCTTAAAGGTGCAGTGTGTAGATTTTAGTGGCATCTAGCAGTTTGGTTGCCAGTTGCACTATTGGCTCAGCCCACTGGTCACCCCTCCCTTTCGAAGAAGCTACGGTGGCTAAAATGGGACAAACATATCATTGTCTGAGACAGCAGAGAATAGCTAGAGTAAGCCAAGAGTGTGTAACATTGTCACTGTTTCTGTTTCTTTATCACATCATGGATAAAGTTTACAAAGCCATAGTCAGGTGAGGATCAAGGGTCTTAATATATAATATAATAATAGTAATCAGTTGATTGCCTCACGAACGTAACCAGCACATTTCTCCCCACATAGCAAACCCATAATACAGCAAGGGAAAAGGACCACATGAAACTATGCAGCTATATATTTTTTATAACAGGGTAGTAAAAGTTTAGCTGGCTAATATGAGCTGTTATGCCGTAGGGCTGTGGCTGAGCTGGTTAAAGCACAAAGCATTATTTAAATTCGACACGTCCGCATGAGCCCAAAGGTATAAGCAGCAAAAATGACATGATTATAACATTGTGCACCTCCGCATCCCTTACACACCAATTACTACACACAAATTAATAAGTAATAATTAATAAAAATATTGTTGTTTTTTTCTCTAGTTTTGAAAACTCTTTGCGATCGACTTAAAATGCTTCCAAGATCGACTTGTCGACCGAGATCGACGGGTTACCTCCCGTTACTGGTTTACAGTCAACAGTACTAATCAGCTGATTGTCAAAGCCATAACGCAGCGAGGGAGAAGAACTAAGTTACATGAAACAATCCAACTACATATTTTATTTTTATTTTTACCACAGGCAAGGGAAAAGTCACTACTCACGGTGTCTATGGCAAGCTTTTAGCTTTCTGCGGCTTCTCTTTCAAGGTAGTGACAAAACGCGCTGTGTAGCGTTGTTTGTTCGCTGTCTGCTTTGGTAGAAACATGACGTCACAATATGTCAACCTTCATAGAAGGGGGTGCCCGTGGTTATGTAGATGTAAATGTCTAATTCTAAGATACTAAAAACATAACGGTTCACTGAGTAAGGTCTTTATACACTACTGAACATAGTTATGGATCTTATACTGCATTTCTGTCAATAGATCCTCAGAAATATCACACATTGCACCTTTAATATTATTCTGGACCCTTAAAATAAAGTGTTACCCATTTTTGGTTTATTTCAGTTTATGCAATACATGCAGCACTGTAAACTCACAAGGGATTGTGAGTACTACAAACCCTGTTAAATCTATCTCTGGAGTTAGTTATTATCTAACACGTACAGCGTTGTGACAGAATCTACCGAATTATCACAGAAAACATACAAAGGTATTGCAGGGATTGGTAAGGATCTATACCTGCTAAATTCTATTTGGTGAGTGTTAAAAAATAGGAGCTACTGTAAAGATGGATTTGCTCTATGGTGTGCATATTGGAGAAGCTTTGACACTGTGAAAAAGCATGTGGAAAAAGATGTCATGGAACATCTTCCCTTGGCATCTGTCCATTATCAAGCCTAATTTGGGAATACCAGCTGCAAGAGCAAAAAAAATTGACAAAAAAAAGTGTTTTGTTTTGTTGTTGTTTTTTTTCACTTGCATGTACTGTGGATGTATCTGTGTGTTTGTATGCCAGCGGCTTGTCCCTGTGTTCTAAAATATCCACCATGAAAGGTCTGCTTGCCAGTATTCTTCTCTGCCCACCATCTGCACGTCTAAAGGCAGAATGAGAATTGATGGTTAAAGAAGAAAGTGCATATGATTGAAAAACACTGGAAGAATATCTTTGCTGCTTTCGAAAAATACAAATTTTGATAACTTTTGATAACTCTTTTATCACATTAAAAGAGTACAACGATTTTAACATAGTGCAAAGACAATAAAACGAGACCTCTAATGGTTCTTGTAAATTACTGCACCTGATCAGTATAGTGACGCCCACATCCTCACAGGTCTCGTAAACACGCGCCCAGGTATCCTGAATGATGCCTCGCTCCACATCTGTCAGCGGCTCTGGTTTCTCCCTCCCCTCTGTCTCTTTATCCTCCCTCTCTTTCTCCATGCCACAGACACACCACGGGGTACTTGCGCCTGAAGCAGGCACAGACGATGGAATGAGAGGTGGTGGTGGTGGAGAGGACCGACGAAGTCGGCAGAGAGGGCAACAGAAACGCAGGGCAAGAGAGTAGAGAGTGTGCATCCGCCCCCCTCTCACCCTGTGCCCCTCACTCCCCTGAGCAGGCAGGATGATTTCACTACTGAAAATCGCTCTGAATATATCTGCTGTCACTGTCTTCTGTCTGCTTTTCCGTTCCTTGTCTTCCACGCTGCTAAGGTCTTTGTCTACCCTCTAACACAGATGTTGTCTGTGCTTGGAACTTCTGGATTTGTAATGACCTCAGATATGGAACGTGTGGAGGAGAAGGAGGGAGCTGAAGAGCTAAAGGGAGGAGTGACAGTGAGAGAGAGAGAGAGAGAGAGAGAGAGAGCATTACAATTCCTGTGTTACCTATCAAGCCTTTCCAAGCTGTGCCTTTACACTCACAGATTCCAAACACACACAAGCTCATATTCAACAGTCACATTCTTTAAAAAAGGTATAACATGAATATGAAGCCTATTACACAAAATAAAACATACATAAATTCAGACAAAGATTTTGTCAAAAAAGTATATTTTTTTAATGTTATTATTATTATTATTATTTGTATTTATTTATTTGTATTATTGTTCATTGAGCCAGAATAAAAGATGTCCAGATCTAGAGATGGACAGTCTTCATAGGCGGTCCTAGGGAGGGGCTAGCAGGTGCTTCAGCACCCCCAAGATAGACCAAAGCACCCCAATAGCACCCCAACCCCAAAAATAATATCTGGAAGCAATTATATTTTGGCTGAATAGAAAACAGTTTACTAATAGAAATAAATGTTTTCGTAGTATTTTAATTAATAAATGATAAAATAATTTAAGATTTAAGACATTTTACTCATTACGCATAATGACGTCTGACGTATATATCAGGTCACGTAAATTGCAATGTATCAGAATTATTTAGAAAGATGGAGCGTTTCCGTCTGTCAAGTAAGCAAACTCGTAATTCTAATTTAGTTTGTGAAAATGAGTAGCCTACATAAATTTACCTCAGCCCGAGGTTGACAACGTTTCAGAATCGGATTTTGACAGTATGGAGTTTGACAAGGAGTCCGTTTTGTGTAGGACAGGTTATGCTCTTTAAATGCTGTAATAACCTATATCACTGACAAACATGCACATGCTCTGATTATGATGTTTTGTATGCTTTATTTTAGCAGGTTACAAATTATTTATGCGATCTAAGAAAGTTGCTAGGCTTTTGCGGCTCGCGCGGTCGCTTTAACGCCGCCTTCACACTGGCAGTTGAAATCAGCTCCGATGCGGCTGCGAAACGACCGGAAGTCATTCATTTCCTATGGAGATTCGCAGACCGCATGCGAATGGGTCCGAAACGGGTCCGACCGTGTGCGGTGCGAAGAAAATCGTGTCCGTTGGTCATCCGGATGCGTTCAAAATTTTGAACTCGTGCGAAAAGCAAGTTGAGCGTTGCTATGTACTGATAAACAAACCTGAATTATTAACTTTTAATAAAATAAATAATGATTTTATAACGATAAGTTGTCATGTCATTTTTTATTTTCATGACTTTCTAACGTTTATAAGGGCAGTTAATACAATTAAATTGAAGGTAGATATTGAACTATTGACCACTATATCACATTTTTTAGCCGACCTGACATTAAAACGTCCTCAGCAACTTTCCTCACGCAGCATAACCCTCATCAGAGAGATCATACAGAACTGACAGAATCAACCTTTAATCTCTCCGCCATTTTTGTTCTACCCGCGTCTGACACTTTTCACTGTGTAGTACGACGTCCGTTGGGAACGTATTGCGTATTACGGAGCTGATTTAAACTGCCAGTGTGAAGGCGGCGTAAGCCTTGTTTATACTCGACGCATCCGCAAGAGCGCGAGTCTCCGCTGCCTGCGCGCGCACCTCTCCAAACGGACGAGGCATTTATACTTGACGCGCTCGCCGTTGTGCTATTCTGTGAAACGACAGGGGGCGAACTTGGAGTAATTCTCCTCTAAACCACCAGGAATCAGCAGTGAAGAAGTAGTTTGCCGTTTATTAGTAGTATTAATGGGCTATATGCACGCATAAGTTCCGCATTTGACGCAAGGATGCTCGTCCATTTCCGGTTGTGGAGATTTAAGCGGAGGAAAACCGAGGAAAACAGGATTATGGCAGAGTGTGGTGAGCAGGACGGCCGAGGGACGTGAGAGAAAGTCGCGAGGCCGGTGTTGCGATTGCTAATGAGCAGCACCTGCTTTTGTTTGTATTTTATATTTTATTTGGTAAGCCAGCAGTCGTCCGTGAGGGGCTGCTGGCCGGCATTTATGTTTTATTTTGGGTAGCCAGCAGTCGTCCGCGAGGGGCTGCTGGCAGGTAATTTGTTTGTTTATTTTATTTAAATAAAGTTTTATTTTATTATTATGATCCGGTTCCCGCCTCCTTCTTCCCTGAACTTTGTTACATTGGAGCCGAAAACCCGGGAAGAGGGAGGAACGCGCTGTCCGAGGGTCCTCGCCGCTGTGGGGAATCCGCGGTGCCATCGAGCATGGTGCGCGAGTCGCCGCCGCTCGCCGTGGGCCGGAGCCTGCTGCCGTCCGCTGCAGATGGGGAGGAGCAGGGAGCGGGGGACTCGCGGCCATGGACGCTCGAGGTGGGGCGCTGGGGTGAGTTGCCGGTGGGACGCCCGAGCTCGCCGCCGACCGCCTGGGAATGGAGGGGCGGCTGCCTTCCGGGAGGGAGAGGAGGAGTCACCGCCACTCGCCGTGGGCCGGAGCCTGCTGCCATCCGCCAGTGAAGGGGAGGAGCAGGGAGCGGGGGACTCCTGCCGTCTGCCCAAGGCACCCGAGGAGCCGTCGCCGTCCACCGGGGGCGGGGGAGCGTCGAGGCGTTCACCGAGGGCCATCCAGCGTCGCCGCCGGGCACCGCGGAGGAGATCGCCCAGCTGGTGAGGGACAAGATGGCAGCGCGTTGTGGGAGCCGGACTATTTTTATTTTTTTTTTTTTTTTTCCTCTCTCCCCTCTCTCGTGTCCGTCGCTCCTCAGGCTTCCGTCTCCGTTACCTCGGCTCGTCGATCCATACCCCCCAGGGATCGCCGCCGCCGGGGGGAAGTAGGCACAGTCTCGGGTGTACCCCCCGGCCTGTGAGGGGTGATGGGGTATGTGGTGAGCAGGACGGCCGAGGGACGTGAGAGAAAGTCGCGAGGCCGGTGTTGCGATTGCTAATGAGCAGCACCTGCTTTTGTTTGTATTTTATATTTTATTTGGTAAGCCAGCAGTCGTCCGTGAGGGCTGCTGGCCGGTATTTATGTTTTATTTTGGGTAGCCAGCAGTCGTCCGCGAGGGGCTGCTGGCAGGTAATTTGTTTGTTTTATTTTATTTAAATAAAGTTTTATTTTATTATTATGATCCGGTTCCCGCCTCCTTCTTCCCTGAACTTTGTTACACAGAGTCTTCAAAATTTACTGTCCTCCCGTCTTTGAAACGAAACGTACATACGTTTAGATGTAATTTTATATATAGTTATGTTTATTTAATATAATTTTAAAAGGAAGCATAAACACAACGAGGGGTGTCTGTTTTATCTGTTTTTGTGACTAACGTTTCTTTAGTATAACCATGGAGTATAAAATTCAATATAAATTCTCGGTATTGCATTGGACTCTACGATCGGCGGAAGTTATCGAGCATCCTTACACCTTCACCGGAAATACCGCCGTGCATAGAGCCCATTGCTAATTCATAAAAGAGTAAATGCAGTAGGTTTATTGTAGCCTACTTTCACTGCATGTAAACTAGTTAAACAACTGAAGCCTTGATGGAGAGTTTTAAACCTTAATTTTACCAGCAGGGCTTAATTCTGCTATTGTAGGCTTATTTTGTAGATGTAACCAATTACTTTAGACAAGTGCGAACTAGGTGCTTAATGCAAATGTGTTGTTCACAAAATGAGATGTTGTGGTCGCCCATCAATGCAAATGTATCTGTGTATAGAAGGATCATAAACATGCTGGTACAGATCGTACTCGGCCAGATTCGGCTCGTAGTCGTCCATCTTCGGATGTGGCGCCGCGCGCAAAGTTACAAAAAGTGCCGTGCACACCGCCAGGCGCAATGCGACCGCCCACACCGCAATGACGTCATTTTTGGCGGGCTCCCTTCGTATAAACAAGGCTTTACTCGGGCGCGCGCTTCAATCTATCGCCGTAGCAGAGACTATTGTGTACAGGCCGCCGGATAGTGTTGCCATGAACTTGCAATGTATAACTATCAGACGAGCCCTCGAGGCCTCAACACTTGCGGCTCACCGGGAAAAGTCCCGACTTGGATTGCCACACTCCGCTACTGACCGGCGGCCACAGTATCACATGTGCTCACTCGTGCTTGCAGCTGTCTCGCTGAAGTGTTTGTGTCGTGAAGCTGCCGCTTCTTTGCTGCGTGCGTGAGGAGAAACACAGTCCATAGGGTGGGACTGGAAGCGTGCGTTGCACACATCGATACGTCTTTCTTACAAATCTGGAATGTGGTTATTCATAAAAGTAGGCTATCGATTCTAATACATTTAGGTATAGGTTTTTAATTTCTGAGTATCGCGATACTTTTGAAGTAGGCCTATCGGTGCACCGTGCAATATATATATATATATATAAATATATAATATATATATATATATATATATAAATTGCGCTGCTCCCCTGTCATTGGCTGTCAATGATCTAGCACCCCCTCAGCACCTGCGTTAAAAATGATCTGGCGCCGCCCCTGACAGTCTTTCCTAAAGAATGAAGAGGATTACTTCTCACCAAGAGGGTCTATAGAAATCAAAATAACAAATTAACAATGATAATCACATGGTCTTTTTTATAAGTATTAAAGACCACTGTTTTACACTAAAAATAAACTGCTTTCTACTAACAGAAATATTTTGTATACCTGAGAAGTAATTTGCCCTAATGAACTGCACTGTTGTGAATATTTTTGAGATTATGCTTTTTCTTTATATTTACACCACAACTGTACTCCAAAGTATAACACCGGTCATCTAGAATTGTTTCTTTTTTCCCAAATATTTTATTTTTATTTTTACTTCATATAAACAAACACAATA